CGTATATTAATTTTGACTTAAATATGAAACTTAATTTATTTAACTTAAAAAAATCGAATTACAGTAAAAAATAAGTGTTTAAATTATGTATTTTTTTTACTTTAAGCATCTAAACTAATTTTGGTTAAATTGAACCCTTAAACCAATCTATTTAATGATTTTAATTCTTATTATTTTTCAGTTAGAAAAATATTTTTCGACTAATAATATGTTGACATATTATATAAAATTAGGTACTTGTTTTGACAAAAAATAATTTAGATACTTGAAGCACAAATGTGACATAGTTTGAGTACTTTTTTTGGGTTTAAGCCAATACAGTTTAATCTAATTTGATTTAAATATTAAAATTTAACAATCAGATCATCTCATTCGAACTTCAATTGCTTTTATATCTAAAATTATTTTAGTTTGAAGTAATTTTATTGATTATTTTTTAATAATTTAGAATAATTATAAAATAATATTTTTTTCAAAAATTTTCTTAGTATATTAATAATGTATAAACACCATACATACGTGGTTCCTCTAAAACCGGATATTAGATATCTTCTAAGTTATAGAAACCAAATAAGTATTTAAACCAACTTAACCTAAAGTTGGGGACACCGTTTTATTTGTCAAATATTTAAGAGAAAATAACCTCAGTGACAAAAAATATCTTATAATATACGATTTTAACCAACTTTTTTTGGATTTGCCAAAATGACCAATTAAATCGCAATGCGATCGATAATTCGCAACGCGATCTCCGGTATCGCAAATCAGTTTCCAGATTCGCAACGCGAACTCGGACTATCGCAATGCGATGAAGTTCGCGTTGCGATTTATTCTAAATTCGTTGCGATAGTCCAAAATCGCAACGACTGGTGGTATTGCATTTGTTTCTTAAGAATTTTCTCTAAAAAGATAGTATACGCGCGGACGTGTCGAAGACACGTATTACCACGACCACGACCCCGACCCCGACCCGAGACAAGACGAGACGACGGCTGCGGTGCGCGAGAGTCCCCATTGTTCTCTATCACTCACAAGGAAGTGGGAAAGCCAAGCCTTAAATATCATTCCCAATAGTGTTTCCAATACTATGTGGGATTGAGCATTACCAACACTTGTTTCCAATACAATGTAATTATTCAGGAAACAATTAACAATCATGCACCTTAAAACAACTGAATCAGCAACCAATTGCATTAGTATTATACGATTAAATATGTCATAATTAAAAGTCAATCTAAAATCAATCGCGATTATTGCAATTTTAAGCAAAACATTCAAAAATAATATCACTATTTAAGGCTCAATCCCACATAGTATTGGGAACAAGTGTTGGTAATGCTCAATCCCACATAGTATTGGAAACACTATTGGGAATGATATTTAAGGCTTGGCTTTCCCACTTCCTTGTTGAGTGATAGAGAACAAGGGGGACTCTCGCTCGCCGCCGCCGCCGTCTCGTCTCGTCTCGTGGTCGTGGTAACACGTCCGCACGAATACTATATTTTTAGAGAAAATTCTTAAGAAACAAATGCAATACCACTAGTCGTTGCGATTTTGGACTATCGCAACGAATTTGGAATAAATCGCAACGCGAACTTCGACTATCGCAACGAATTTGGAAAATCGCAACGCGAACTTCGACTATCGCAATGCGAATATGTAAATCGCAATGCGATAGTCGAAGTTCGCGTTGCGAATCTGGAAACTGATTTGCGATACCGGAGATCGCGTTGCGAATTATCGATCGCATTGCGATTTAGTTGGTCATTTTGGTAAATCCAAAAAAAGTTAGTTAAAATCGTATATTATAAGACATTTTTTATCACTGAGCTTATTTTCTCAATATTTAAACTAATACATACCTAATATTTAATAAGTATTTAAACTCAAAATAAGGGATAAGGTTCAATAACCCAGACTATAAACAACCAAATACAAAATAACCTAAATATGAAATGATAGAAATAAATAACTTGGAATGATTTGAATTGAAATAACAAAAAAAAAAAACTGAAACACTACAAATTAATCTAACAGAAATGACTCAATTTAAAATCGATCCGACTCGATCAGTTGACCTATTCATAGTTTGTATCTTTCAGGGCTGAAGGGATCAGGAGTAGGTCTTCTGTTGTTATAGGAACCATAATCATAAGGAACACTTTCTTGCCAATAACTGGCATTGGTGTTGTTAAAGCTGTAAAGCATTGAGGCCTTGTGGAATTAGACCCCTTTTATCTCTTCACTCTGCTTCTTCAATAGCCATTCCACCTACAATGAACATAGGTACGCTGGGTTCAAAATTAGTACCACTGTTTCTTACAAATAAAATCATTTCGAATTTTAAAAAATTGATACCTAATAATCATATTTATCGATCCATCGTCTCACATTAACATGGTAAATTTAAATTGATTTTATTTTTCTTTCATATCTCTCGAGATTTTGTTCTTAGATGATGTGATATCTCAAGATTCAAACCGGAATAGTATGTGTGACATTTTGGGATTGTATTGGCAGGTACGATAAGCCAGATGCTAGGAAGTGGTGAGAGTGAATTCTCAGCTCTGTTTTGAAAATCGGATCGGATCGATCGGTTCAACTGATTCAATTAGAAATCGTTGCTTAGTCCGGTTCAATCTAAACCGGTTGAACCGCTATTAGCGAACCGGCCAGAACCGTTAAACCGTTCGAACCGGACCGGCTGAAAACCGGAAAAAACCGGGATTTTTGTTTTAAAAAAAAAAATTAAACCAAACAACGTCGTTTGTTAAACGAGCCAAGTCGAACTCGAGTATTGCTGAGCTCGACTCGAACTTGAAAACTTTAAAAGTAAGCTCAACTCAACTCAAACTCACAAGCTAAAAATTATCAAGTTCAACTCAAACTCGAAATATAATATTGAAACTTGAACTCAAAAAGGCTTAAACTCAAAAAAAAAAATTAGAAGCTCGATTGAAGCCTAAAATTCGAGCTTGATTGAAGTGAAAGAATAGTTATATAATTATAGTTATATAATTTTGTTATGATTTTTTAACCCCAAATTTATTTTTTAATTATAGTTATATAATTATATTTATTATTTAATATGTTTTACCTTAAATATTATGTTGTAGTTAATTTGAATCATTTTGTTTCACTTGATTTTATGGTTTTTAACTTATATATATTATGACTTGCTTTGAATATGACTTGTGATATAAAAAAAATATTTTTTATTAAATATTTTTAGTATTTTTATTTAATTTTTTAAATAATTATGACGTCGTCCAGTTCTTCCGACCGATCAGATCGATTCGACCGGTTGAACCAGTAAACCGGTAGCATGACTGGTTCGATAACCGATCCGATTCTGAAAACCAGGATTATCAGTGATTATGGTTTGGAATTATGGTGTAGCAACATTCTCCCTAACCTTCTGGATAGCCTTCTACATATGGCTCGTCATGTAAAACTCATGCCACTTTGCTCATTTCATTGTAATTCTAATATATTATAGCGTTAATCGCAGCATATGTCCCAAACTAATAACCCTTGTTTTAAATTGGTCCTTAAACTTTTGAATATTCCGATTTCATCCATAAACTATGGCCCTCTTTCTAATTTGATCTCCAAACTTTTTTGTACATTCCAATTAAATCTCAAGTTCATCCAAATATCTAATTAGTTTCAACCATAATTTAAACTAAATTTTGTTTTTTTCCCAAACATACAATAATATAACTTGGTGTAAAGATTTTACTAACAAGAGATGCAATTAGTATATACATATAATTTGGGATGAAATTGGAATGTTCAAAATTTTAAAGACTAATTTAGAAGAATAGTCATAATTTAGGGATAAAATCAAAATATTTAAACAATTTAAAATAATAAACATACTTTGAAAACATACATGCAATTAACTCTATATTTTATTATTTCTCTAACTTTACTTAGGGTAAAAATACACTAAAGATCATTCAGTTATGTGTTCAGTAGCAAATATATCAGATTTTAAAAGATATTATTTACTCATCCAATTAAAAGTATTGTTACAAACAAATCATTGGCCTTAAAATTGAAATAAACGTTTAACATGATATGATATAATAATAGTTTTAGTCTCTAAAACATATATATTTTTATTAATTTTGTTTTAGTTCGAAATAATTTAATAAATTCAATCTTTTATATTTAAAAATATAAGCTAATTAAAGCAACAATTGAACAATTATATTCCGTCATAAAATAAAAATAAATTACTATTGAATTGTTAAAATTAAAACAACGGGTTCTTTTAAAATGGATGCCATATATATAAACAAAAGATTAATAGAACAAAAGAGACTATCCCTTTTAATTCACAAAACTCAATCTAAAACACAGATTTACAATTACAATTAAGAAGCCAAGAAAATAAAATAAGTCGAATTTTGGTCATTCAAACATAGATCCTGTAGAGACGTATTATAGGACGTTCCTCTTTATCTAATTTTTTTTTCTATTCACAATGTTATGATTTGGATCTTAAACTTTACTTAAAGGATTTAGTGTCTCATCCTATTGAATCAACTGATTATTGATTGCCTCGTTTCTTTTCTACTTTAGTCATCGAATCATTTTCTTTCAAATTTAATAATGATATATTTATTCATTTTGATACATAAGATTAACAAAAAAGATAATTTGATCTCGTATAGCAATAATTTTAATTTCAAAATTTATATAGACCAAATTAATAAAATTTTAATATTAAATTAAAAATTCATTAAATTAAAATTAAATTGAGGAAATGAATAAATTTCAGAAACTATATTTGCGAGAGACCAAAATGGAGAAAACATAATGTTAGTGGTCAATTTTGGAAAACAATAGTTAATTGACTAAAATAAGATATATATATATATATATATATATATACTGACAAATTTACTTACTTATTTCACCTTTGGTGTACACTATCCGAGCCACACTTTTATCTCACTCGCAAAGAAATATTATTTTAAAAACAAAAACACACCAACCCTCAACGAAAGGCGATTTTCTCTCTGATTTTTCATTTATGTAGAAAAATCTACGGAAAAAAAAAAGATAAAATTTCGAAACTGCGATTGAAAGGATAGATATGTCGTCGAAAGGGAAGGAGAAGGAGGTGGTTTATGGAAAACGGAAGGTCAGCGCCGGAAGAAGCGGCGGCGTAACGGAGGAGAGCCGTCGGAAACGGAGGAACCGGGGTGTCCTTCAGTTCTTTGAAGACTCTGCTGAGGATGATGGTAGTGACGCCAGCGATGGTAGCGATATCAATGATTGTAAGGCTGATCTGATCAATGTTTTCTTTGTTCTTTTTGGGGTTTTTTATGTTTCGTTTTGGAGTGTTGCATTGTACGATTGCTTATTTCTGCGACTTTTAGGGTTTCCCCCCTTTGATTTTGTTCTGCATTTTGGTTTTAAGGGCTTTAGGTTGTGGAGGTGCTTGACTTTTAGCCGTCAAAATGGTTTGTCATTTGTTTTTTCTTTTAAATATTTTGGGAGAATTTTCGGTTTTTAATACGTTGAGTAATTTGGAAGAGTATATTTTTTTTAAGAAAACTGGACCTTGTGATGACATTTTGTTGCTTCTGGTTGTTTGGTTGTGAAAGTGGCTCATTGTGCTTGAATTATCATCCTTGAGTTTTTTGTGATGGATTTTTTTTTCGTTGTTGCTTCTGCATTAGTGATCATTTTAGGTTGTTTGGTTGTGAAAGTGTTACTGATTAAGTAAATAACAATCCTTTTATCAGATGTTTTGCAAGAAGAACCGGATCTTGATGTAAATAAAAATCCCTGGAAAGCCCATAACGTTCCATTTGTCCCCAAGGAAGAGGTGATTGAGGAAGAGTTTGACAAAATGATGGAGGAGAGGTACAGGGATGGTGCTAGGTTTACGACGTTTGAGGAAGATTATGAAGCCAAGGGATCAATTGACAAAAACTCTACTGTGCCACCAGCCAAGGATCCTGTTATATGGAAAGTTAAATGTGTGGTATGGTTGATGTGCTGTTAAAGTAACTTATCCGACTAAAAAATTGAATGTAATCTTCTTGTACTCCTACCATCTCTCTTTTTCTTGTTTTACCTAAAAGTTTTTGTATGTAGGTTGGGCGTGAACGACATTCAGCATTCTGTCTCATGCAGAAGTTTATTGACATGAAATCACTAGGAACAAAATTACAGATAATATCAGCATTCTCTGTTGATCATGTCAAGGGTTTTTTCTTCATTGAAGCTGACAAACAATGTGATATTAATGAGGTAAATTATGTTTTTGGACACCGGAAAATAAAATGGCTTTATTATTTCTGTTAGTGTCTGTGCGCTAACATACCTTTACTTCTATATTAGGCATGTAAAGGATTGACTTACATTTATTCTTCACGATTGGCACCAGTACCAAGCAATGAAGTTTACCATTTGCTCAATGTCAGAACTAAATGTTGTGAAATCTCTAAAGGCATGTGGGCTCGGATAAAGAATGGGAAGTATAAGGGGGACCTTGCACAGGTAGACTGTTTTCTATGTTTAAATTAAGTTTGCTTTATGCCCTATTCTAGATTGTTCATTATTATCTGTCAAATTTCTTTCTGCAGGTTGTGGCTGTAAACAATGAAAAGAAAAAAGCAACTGTAAAGCTCATTCCCAGAATTGATCTGCAAGCAATGGCTGCAAAATTTGTAATAATACTAATTTTCCGCATAAGCTTGTTTTTCTGCTGTTCTCTGTTACATTGTTAAACATCTTATATTCCTGTAGAGATTTATATGCACAAGATTTTTCATCAAATAATTGATTTTATGTTACAGGGTTCTGGAGTTTCCATCAGTAGAACTGTTATACCAGCACCAAAATTGATAAGTTTAATTGAGCTAGAGTAATACACCTGATATATGGATTGTTTATTAGTTTCATTGCTTTTGAGATGTTTATGTTGATGTTTAAGCCTGGTGCAGGGAGTTTCGACCTCTAATTCAGTTTAGACGAGACCGCGATACTAGCATTGGTTTTCAAGTACTTGATGGCATGATGCTAAAGGATGGATATCTGTATAAAAAAGTATCTATAGATTCCTTAAGCTGCTGGGGTATAATGCCTACAGAGGAGGAGCTCCTAAAGTTTAGTAATTCTGATAATAATGAATCTGATGATCTGGAGTGGCTATCACAACTTTATGGTGAAAAAAAGAAGAAAAAGACGATGACAAATGAAAAAGGAGGTGAGAAAGGAGAAGGCTCTTCAGGGTTAGGCTTGGAGGATAGCTTTGAACTGTATAACCTTGTCTGTTTCAGGTAATTCTTGAACAGAAGTCTGCCATAGCAGTAACCACATATCAACAGCTTGTTAATAATCTATTTCATGTTCTTTTTCATTTACATTGCAGCCGGAAAGATTTTGGGCTTATTGTTGGCATGGAGAAAGATGATCGTTACAAGGTAAATAAATTATATTATTTACTTTTGATAATTTTGACTTCTTACCAGCTATGCACTTGTTAGATTCTAAGAGAGGCTCCAGAAGGACCTATTGTAGTGACTGTTGAGAAGCATGAGTTAAAGATTGGGCCTTTGGATACAAAGTTCACTGCATTAGATAAGCACTCAAAGACAATATCCATTAACGACACTGTTAAAGTCTTGGAAGGTCAATATGAGGTGTAACAGCAGTCTTAAGTCACTTTCTCATTGTATATTTTTATTTGTGGTTTAGTGGACTAGGTGTATATTAATATATTACCCGTCTCGCATTTTAGGGTAAACAAGGGACTGTTAAACAAATCTACAGAGGGACCATTTTTTTGTATGATGAGAATGAAACAGATAATGGTGGTTTTTTCTGTTGTAAATCACCAATGTGCGAGAAAATCAAGCAGCGTTCAGATAAATGCAGTGAGAAGGTTGTAAGTGAACTGAACATAATTTCTTACTCTTTAACCATCTTGAGATTCTTATGATCTATAATGGATTTTAATTTTTCTTCAGGGAGGTGATCCTGGTGGTACTTCAGATTATGGGGATTTTGTATCATCTCCCAAGTCCCCAATATCTCCTGAGAAGCCTTGGCAGTCTCAAGAGAAGGAGACTAAGAGTGACTGTGTGTTCCTAAAAATTCTGCTCTCTAGTTTTGGCTGCCTGTCAGTAGTAATCATGTATTCAAATCTCCAAGCACTGACACTAATTAATTATTTCACATGCAGTCAACAGAGGGAACATAGATGGAATGTTCTCCATTGGTCAAACATTAAGAATACGAGTAGGCCCTTTGAAAGGGTACCTTTGCCGTGTCTTAGCAGTATACCGTTCAGATGTTACAGTAAAAGTGGGTTCCAAGCAGAAGGTTCTTAAAGGTTGGTACGTTAATGGATAATCTTTTTGATGGATTATAGTCTTATATTCTTGTGATGACACTAATGGCTTCTTGATGTTTCTATAGTTAAAAATGAGCATCTTGCTGAGGTTCAAGGGAAGAGCACTGCTGCAAATACAAAGTACCTGGATTTTGCAACGTTGATTAATTTAATTTCTGTAACCTTTATAACAGATATCTAAATATGTTTTGATTTGCTCTTATACTTCCTTTATTAGTGAGCATGATGGATCAACTTCATTCAAACCATTTGGATCAGAAGCTTCGACCGGAGGTGAGAGGTTCTCTACCGTAGATGTGTTATAAATTATAACTTGAATGCAATTTTGTCAAAATGTCAATTGCATTATGCTTTCCATTTTTATTGGGTGCTTTCTCTGTAAATTAGGCATGAATATTCATTGATAGCTCGAGTAAGATTTTTTTATAACATGAAGTTTGGGTTTTATAATGTTGTTTAGTCCTAATTAAATTAATTCAATGAGGTTGGTTATTATTCTTATCTCCATGCTTGTGTTATCATTTTCCTGGCTGTAACTGATATAATTTAATCTTTTTTCCACTCTGTTTTTGGAAGATTGGTTGAATGGTGCAGGAACATCGGCTGAGGGTGGCGGGTGGAATGCTGAGAGGTAAAAACATGCAGACTGTCACTAATAGGAATATATGATTGTTTATAATGGTAGAATAATTCTATTAGCATTTGAATTTGAATTTTTGTTATGAAAAAAGTTTAGAACCACCCTTGATGAGTGTAACTATAGAGTAGAACTAATGTTTGAGGTGGAAGAATGCTTTTGATAAAATACCTACAGTCTTCTCTCAATTGTGGGACCTTTCTTCATGACAATTTACTCGTACTATGCCCCCCACTGCCCAAGAAAAAACCAAAAAAAAAAGGATAAGAAAAACTCACCTCTGCCTCTCTCCAATGGCTCCTTGTTGCCAAAACCTTTGGCAGATATGCCCCCTCATATCATTTTCTTTTTCTTAAACGTCGTATTATTTCTGCATGCTGACAATGGTCTTCAATTTTCTGCAGGAGCTCATGGCCTAGTTTCTCTGGGCCTGGCAACGCGGTTTGTCTCTCTCTCTCTCTCTTTCTCTCATGCACACACACACACACACACACACACACAAACATTCACATGCACAAAATTGTAATATCCATTCACCTCTGGCAAATTTGTACTCATCTATGTTTTTGTGATGGTCACAGCAGCAGACTGGAACTGTTAATTCAAACCCATCTGGTAATGGGGACAATGATCAGAAGACTGGTATGATTACTGAACCATTATTGCCATATGGGCAATGCCTGAAAAACAATTTATTGCATGCTTAAAGGTGTTCTCTTTCACTCTATGTTCTAGATGGTGAAGGCTCTGCATGGGATACCAAGCCGACTGCAAACCAGAATTCATCTTGGGGTGCAGCAGCTCCTTCTGGGGATAATGATAACAAAACAGGTTTACATGATACATCTTTCCAATAAATGTGAACTGTTATACGATATTTAATTTGTGCATAAAGCCTATTCATTGTTGTATTGTAGATGGCGCATCTTCTGCTTGGGAAAATAACACGAGTACACAACAAAATTCAGCTTGGGCTACGGGTGGCAGTGATCATAATTCTAATCGGGGAAGTTGGAATAATTCTGCTCCCAAGATTGACTCTGGTGGCGGTGCATCTGATGCTTGGGTTAAAACTATTACTGGCGGAGGTCCATCAGGTGCTTCACAAGATGTTGATAATGACGGTTGGGATAAAGGTAAAGGTGTGGCTGAAGAAGGATCATGGGGGAAGAACAAAAAGTCAAGTGTTAATGAGGGAAATTGGAACAATAATGATGTAGGGTCAAATCAGCAGGGAAGTTGGGGGATTAAGAATGATGCCAGTGTCGGTCAAGATAATTCTTGGGGTAATACTGCGGAGAAGTGGAACAATAAAGATGGTATTGGTGGAAGCAAGGGAAATTGGGGTAGTTCAAAGCCTTCTGCAGAAGATGCCAAAGGATCTTGGGGCAAACAGGATGGAGGTTCATCACTTAATCAGTCTGATGGTTGGAATAAAGAAAAGGCTGCTGATGTTGGAACTTCTGGGGGCAAACAGGATGGAGGTTCATCATGGTACAAACAACTTGGGGGATCTTCATGGGGTGTTTCGAACACCAAATCTGGTGGTGGAGCTATCCAGGATGCTGGCCAAGATTCTGGTTGGAGCAAAAGGAGTAGTTGGAACTCTGGTTCTGGTGGTACAAATCAGGAACCTGGTTGGGCTAAGAAAAATGACTCAGACTTTGGATCTGGTGATGCAACCAAAGATTCTACTTGGGGGAAAAAAAGTGACTGGAACTCGGGATCTGCAGATGCAAATCAGGAGTCAAAGAAAAACAGTTGGGGTTCTGGTACTACTGATGCTGGTCCTGACTCTGGTTGGGGCCAAAGGGGCAGTTGGAACTCTGGTTCTGGTAATGCAAACCAGAATCCTGGATGGACTAAGAAAAGTGATTCGGGCTTTGCTGCTGGTGATGCAACCAATGATTCTAGTTGGGAGAAGAAAGGCGCAGCAGATGCAAGTCAGGATTCAAACTGGGGTAAGAAGAGTAGTTGGGGTACTGGAACTGATTCTGGACAAGACGCTGGCTGGGGCAAAAAAGGTGGCTGGAACCCTGGTTCCAGTAGTGCAGGTGAGGATTCTGGTTGGAAATCGAAGAGCAAATGGAATTCAGGAGCTGGGGATGCAAACCAGGATTCTGGTTGGAAACCGAAAAACGATTGGAAGTCTGGAAGTGGAAATGAAGACCAAAATGAGCCTTTTAGTGGTAGGGGTGGTGGAAGTTGGAGGGGAGGTTTTGGTGGTAGAGATGGTTCAGGTAGAGGCTTTAGAGGTAGAGGGGATTCAGTCGGAGGAGGCTTTCGGGGTAGAGGTAGATCAGATAGAGGACGGGGCAGATCTGACCGAGGAGGTTTTGGTGGTGATGGTGGAGGTTATGGAGGTAGAGGTGATAGAGGTGGTGATAGAGGTGGCTACGGAGGCCGAGGTGGCGATAGAGGTGGCTACAGAGGTAGAGGTGGCGATAGGGGAGGCTATGGAGGTAGAGGACGTGGAAGGAGGGATGAAAATGGTGGTTGGAACAATGGTGGTGATTCAGGTGAAAATAAGTCTTATGGCTGGAACAAAGAGGGGAACCAGGGCTGGAATGGAGGCGGAGCAAAGACCTGTGGTCAATCTAATGCGGACAATCGAGGCCAATCCTCCGGTTGGAGTCAGCCTGGTGGCTGGAACAAAGGAACTGGTTCAACTAATGAAGCAGGTGGGAATCAAGATACCAGTTGGAAGTCATCCAATTCATCCGATGGGAACAAATGGTCGGGCTGGAACCAGTCTACCTGCAGCAAGGACGTTAAAGAGAGTACCAGTCAAGGACATGGCTGGGAGAAAAGTTCAGCTACTGCTGCTGGAGGAGGGTGGGGTGGTCGAGGATCAGGCTCGGCCGAACAAGTTGAACCAAAAACTGCAGATGAAGGGGCATCATCGGGTTGGAACAAGCCGAAAGACGGAGAAGGAAGTAGCGGGAATCAAGACGCATGGGGTAAGGCATCGTCGAGCTCTTGGGGACAAGGGAGTGGTAGTAGGAAGGGGGGATGGTAATTTATGTTCCATGTTTGAAGGTGTCGTAGATATTTTTGTGTGTGCTGTTTCTGCAGTTCCTGAGCAGCAGGGAAAGGACGTGGCTAGGAAAGACGTTTGCAGTATAGTTGTTTATCAGCTTAGATGTTTGCTCAAACCGTATAATATCCAACTTATTTAAGTATCCGACATAGTATTCATTGATGGCTTAATTTAAATTTGAAAAATTAACTTATCTCCTTTTGAAAGAACCCTTTTATCCCACATGGTTTAATGAAAATACTTACTCCCTTAAGGTTAAAATACAAAGATAATTATACCCCTATCAGTGTTCATCTGTCTTTTTTTTCCTTTACAAAATCATGAAAATAAAATTAAGTTGAAACCAAATTAAAAGTGGGGCTAAATTTTTCCTATGATAATTTAATTATTTCCTTTTCTCATTTTGACCATTAATCTTTTAATTTTATTAATCAAACTACTTAATTATTTAAATTATACAGTTAATATATGATTCTCTATACTTAGACATTCTATTATTCAATATTGATAGCCATTACTTTATAAATGTAGAGAGTATTATCTAATTATTTTATAAATTTAAATCTCTAATATTCTTCTTATGTTATACACAGTTTTTACATATATAATATGTATAATTTATACTACTAATTCTTTTTGTATTCCGATGTTCCTCACCATCGACTTATTTTTTATTAAAATAACACAGTATTATAAACATAAGCCAAAATCATTGTAAAAAAAACATAAGCCTAAATCGTACCACTAAACTCATGTATGGAACCAATGTTATCAAAATGCAATTTATATAATCTTGTTTGGATTGCCATCGATTCAAATTCAATAATAAACGTGAGAACAAAGACAAAGAAGACATAATTTTGTTCAGACAATTGCACGTTCACTACAAATTTTAAGAGATTTGAAGTTCGATTTTGTAACGTGCAATGTTATCAAATATTACAAATTGTCCTATAATCAGATCACCTGTCAGGTTGTTAAGTTGTTTCATGCGGAACATGTCCTATTAGACAAACCTTTTCGGCCATCTTTTGGCTTGGAAATTATAATAGTAATTAGATTATATATATATATATATATAATCATCTTATTATTTTTGACAATTACAATTTAATGTGACAACTTATGGCGTTAATGTGGTTATTTATAGTGTTGATATAATAATTCATATATAAATGATATCGTGATAGAAGAATTTAATAATTTATTTTAGAAAAGTCCAAAAAATTTTAAATTCTTTTCAAAAAATTATTATTAGACAAGTTTGACAATAAAAATTTAATGATGACATTAAAATTATAGATCATTATAGCAACATTATAATAGTTAACAACGATTTTGATCCTAAAAAAAATTACGATTATTTTTATATCTAAAAATTTAATTAGATAAAAAACTTAAATCTCGACTTTTCTATAAGAACCCTTCTCATAATCTTACTGACTTTTTTTAAAAAAAAATTAATTAGTAGTGTGTTAAATAATTATTTAAATTATAATAAAAATTATATTTTATCTATTAAAAGAACAACATTTTATCTTATCTTATCCTTTATTTTCTTTTCTGTTTCTTTAACTTTATTAACCTTAAACCGGATTCAGATTGAAGTTTCTATGTGATGTGACAATGAACATTGACAAATATAATCGACCCGAAAATTAAATATGGTATTGAACCCTTAAAAGGTGTTCTTGTTTTTGGGGTTACTTTAAATTTTTGTTTTTCTTCTGTTGTTCTTGCATTTATTAAATAACAAATATATATTTTCATATCTATATTTTACTTTAAATTTTAATTTAGTTTTCAAATATTTTTAAATTAAGTATCTGAACTTAAATTCTGGTATATAAGTTACTCAAGATATAAGTTTAACTTGATTTTTTTGTTCAAATTAGTTTAAAAAAAATCAAAAGTATCGATTTGAAGAAGAACAATCAAATTTATATATCAATTTGAATTAAGAAATTAATTTCAAGTATAAATTTAAACATTAACACCTTAGGGAAATTTTGATTCAAAGAAAAGATTTATCAGGGTAAATGATTATAACACTCCAAATTATGGACTAGTAGTTTCGGAGACCCGAGAGGTATCTGGGCCCTGATGATTTCGTAATTAATGTTGTTAGGCCGAGTGATGGCTTAATTGAATAAGAATTGGGCCTAGTGAACCATAAAAAAGGGGATTTTTACATAGTAGAAAGATGAGAATGGACCTAATGTGTAATTAGCCTATTTTTTTTTTTAAAAAAAAGATGAGATTTTATATTTCATTTCATCTTCTTCTCTTCACTTTCTTCATTCTCACTTCTCTTCTTCTTTCTTTTCCTCTCTAAGTTTCATAGCTAAGGGTAAGTCATTTGAGCATTTTCCTACTTCTTTTAAGCTTTATTTTCGCCTTCAATCCCTCCAACAAACTTGTTTTTGATGTTTCAAAGTCTTGTGTTCTTTATAACTAAAGAGAAAGTGGGGGTTTATCATCCAAGCTTTGGAGAAGAGTGATAGTTAGCAAAACTATTTCATTTCGGGATTCTAGCATCAAGGTAGTGTATTTCTAATCCTTTGTAGTGTTAAGGCTTTCATAAGCATGAAGATTTGTTAAGACTTGAGTATTTGATTATTTTTTTGTTTATGGTTAATTTCATGATTAGATGACATTTTTATAGTAAAACATGTGTTTTTGTGTCACTTTATGACTCTAAGTAACTTCCTAAAGCTTTAGCACATGATTAGAAACCAAACTAAGACCTTTAGGACAATTTTTGAATGTTTTTCTAGCCTATTTCTGGGTATTCTAGGTTTGAATATCGATATTGGATGAATTGAGACGAAATCTGGGTATTTTTAGCAGAGCGTATCGATACTGAGGGGAAGAGTATTGGTACTGTCCCTACAATATCGATATTGAGGGTACCTGGTATCGATACTGTCTAATTTTAAGCAAACAGAATCCATTTTTGGTACTGATACTCATGGGGGTATCGATAGTTGATCTTAGGTTATTGATATTGCAAGTACAATATCGATACTATCCACTTTGGATGGTTAGTTTTGACCTCGTTAAGTCCCGTAAGAGTTAAGGATGATTCATAATGGTGGAACTTAGTTAGTAAGGGACATAAATGACCAAAGGGCCTAAAAAACACTCGTAAGAGTGGGTTGCAACTGAAGTAACCATACCAATATGTCCAAGTATCTTTAGTTGAGCACATGTCGAATAATTAAGAACGATGATCATTGCAGAGAATATACCGACAAGTGGTACGTTAAGTAAGTCAGATTACGTAATAGCAAAGTTGTGTACTCCAGAAATGTTAGTGAACCGAGAACATACAATTTGTCCCTCCAATTCAAGGGGTATTGAAGAGAAGTGTGATAAAAGCAACTAGAGTGTCGTTACCCAGTAATGAACCCCAGTTAGGTATTAGGCTAGTTAGTATTACAAGCAATGAACAACAAACGTAGTAATCATCGTAAAATCAAAAAAACACATAGAGATCTCTTTAGAGATATAAATGACTAAAACATCATTCAGCGTTAAATGTCCAGAATAGAACAACTTAACAGACTAACTGAAATAATAGACTAATAAATTGTTCCATAACATTCTAGATAAGAGAATAAACGATGTATCAGCTAGAGAGGGGATGACTTCACTTTAGTGTGTCGAGCTACACTAGTGTATAGTTAGACTACCCTAGTTGCCCTAGTGGGGCATTGTTAGTGTTGTGTGGCCTTTGGGCCCTTATATATGCATGTGTATTTTCATCAGTCTAGTACAACATATATCCTTAAAGCTTGGCTTGACAGCTGTGTGAGACCCAACCAATGCTTCAGTTGAGCGAAAATATAATTTTCATCAGATATGCATGTGTATTTTCATACATCTATCATAAAAGTAATAAAATAATGTAACAATTAACACATAGTTACATTGGTGTAGGTAGGGACGAAATTAGAAATTTATTAAAGTGGATGTTAAAGTATTTTTATTTTATAAAAATATAAGTTTTCAATATTATTTAATACTTTAAAAATAATTGGTAGGGACCAAATGTAACATCCCAAAATAGGGTCAGTGACTAAAATGTAAATTTTGAAAACTTTGTGCTCAATTTTGAAATAAGTTAAAAGTTTATGGACTTAATGGAGAATATTGATGATTGGATTGATTAGCAAAGTTTGGAAGTATAAAGGGCATTATGGTATTTTTATAGCATTATGGTCTTTTCATAAAGAAGATTTTTATCTTTCTTTTTTGGGTTATAAAACACGTGGAGGATGGGAAAAAGGAAAGAAAAGTCTGGAGAGTGGGTTCAGCTAACTTCTTCTTCTGAGCTCAATTAAAAGGTGAGTTTCTTATAAGTTGATTATTCCTTAATTTAATGATGGGGTTTTGATTCTTTGGGTATTAAGAAAGCTTAAGGAAGCTTAAAGTTAAGTAAAAACTCAAATCTGGATGAGTTATGAGAGATTAAGTAAATAGAGTTTTTAAGAGAATTATTGAAAATGATGTAAATGGATTTTCAAGTTGAATTTGACTTGTCAATGGTTTAATTAAGAAGTTAGAAGTAATAGAAGTGAATTATGAATATGTTGAATAATTAGTGTGAATTTGATTTCTAAGTATTCTATGGGGATTATGGTGGTTAAAGTGTGCTTAAGTGATATAAGTTAGTTCTAATAAGTATATTTGAGTTTAGTAGTATGAAATGAGTTATAAATGGAAGGTATATGTATGTATAAGTGATTTTTTGAGCTAAAAAGATGAATTCTGTGCATGGGGTATCTGTATTGTTCATCCAGTACCGATACTTCAAAGAATAAAAGGGTTATTATTGGTGAGAGGGCATCGATACTCTATGAATGGGTATCTATACCATAAGCAAAAAGTTGGCAAGTCATTCAAGGGGTATCGATACCAAAGGAGTAGTATCGATACTGAGGGTATCGATACCATCTAGCAAGTATCAGTACCATTTTGAAAATAAGGATGACAGAATTGAAATGGGGTATCAGTACCATGGAAGGGAATCGATACTACAAGTATAGAGGTATCAGTAT